TATGAAGTGAAACGAAATGAAACTGGCTGATGAATCAGGCTGCCGTCAGATGCTTTTCTCCATGGAGATGCTATTGCGTCATTTGGAATGTTTCATAGTATGGCGTTAAACCTTTCTGTCTTTATGGAGACCAAACCAGATCGAGTTACAGATCAGATCTGTGGAGAGGCAACCCCACCCACAGTCAGAATTCCTGTTTTTCTATTTATTTTTGAGCTATAAACCTACTTGTAATTGAATAAATGTAAGGTAGAGGCGTTTAATGCCATACTGTGGAACATTTGAACAAACAGGTGACAGACGCCCAACCAAAAAGTTACACCGTGCACCTTTAAGACTTTACTTTGTGCTTGGGTGGTGCTTTCTATAATTACAGCTAATTGGCCTTAATAAAACATGAAGGGAGACTTTAAGCTGCCATGTATAATTAGACTGGCTGACTGGTCCCTATCACCACTAGATGCTATCTACATTACTGCTGTCTGATACTGTTCCGGCTTTGGACTGACAGAAGACCAGAGAGCACATGTGAGTCTGAACATGGGCCAGGTGAGGGGAGGGGGGGACTGGTTTCACATCTGCCATCTACTAAAAGAAAATCTAATAAACTTGCAGATGGAAGCTTTATTTCAACATGAACAAAAGTTTAATGGAATACTTTAAAGGAATGGTGCGGGCCTAGTAACTACTTAATGAATACCCTAACATATCCTCTGCATGGGTTTCAGAATGATGACAAGTTAGGACTGTTACCATAGCAATTAACAAGTCAAAACAAAATAGTATCATGGACACTCCTGCTCACCCACTGCACCAGACTATTGAAGGTCAGAGGAGCTCATTCCCCAACAGGCTCCTACAGCTCAAATAATACTCCCTACAACTGTACCACAACTCACCCTTATGTAATAGATAATACTCCCTACAAGTGTACAACAACTCCCCCTTATGGAACAGATAATACTCCCTACAACTGTACAACAACTCATCTTTATGTAACGGATAATAATCCCTACAACTGTACAACAACTCACCGTTACATAACAGATAATACTCCCTACAACAGTTCAACAACTCACCCTTATGTAACAGATAACCATATGTCCTGTCAATCATCATATCATTGTTAATAGGTGAGATTTAATTTTTTAATTACTTATTTTTCTATTTTAATTTGACTTGTACATATACATTTATATAATTATACCCTAATTGTCACCAGTGTCTTGCTCTTTTTGCTACTTATTTAGAATTTATCACCATTTATATGTTTTACTCTTTTTATTATATTGTCTTGTGATGTGTGAGCTACTGTGTCCAAATAATTTCCCTTGTGGATCAGTAAAGTTTGTCTAAGTCTCTATATCTTTCAACTGTCTTCAAAATGGCTACAGATAACAGGAAGCTGAAATCTATAGATAGATACTTTACTGATCCCGAAGGAAATTCAAAGTTTGGAAGCAACAATATAGAAACAAACATAGCAACATTATAGCAACAAGATATTAAATGTTAAATATTGTAATAGACCATTACAACAATTAAAAGACAGTTAACATTCAGATCTGTTTTACATAATCTGCTATGTACAACCTACTGTACACTGCTGTTAAGTCCTTCGGCAAGACACTTCAACCCATCTTTCTTATTTTAACATTGCTGTGATTATCAAATATTACTCATAACTCCTACTTCACAAAATACCACTGTCCTTTCAGCTCCATTGTGGACCGCTGGAGGCCCAAATGGCTGTTGTTTACGTAGCGCATTATCTCGTCTCTTCTCTTCATCTTGTCCCCCAACTTAAATGAACTGTGACACTAAAGGTTAGCCGCCGATATACGAGCAGATAAGGCGCTATAATTAAGACGCTATCTTCTCTCTCCTCTCCCACTCCTTACTCCTCCTCCTCATCTTCATCCACCCGCTCTCTCTCACATAATTGAAAACCATATGAGTAATATTGTTGTATTATGCCCCAACAAGCACCAGCTCCCCGTACGTGACCAATGTTGGGTACTGTTAGCTTTGCCACGCAGCGTCGCCCTTCCTCCCCTCCCTTCCTTCCACCTCTCTGTTCCTCCGCCAATCTGACTTCCTTTTCTTGCGCCTCCATCTTTTTAGCGGTCTTATCTGGCTCTTTCATGTCACGGCCGGCCTTGCAGCGGCGCTTCATCAATCAAGTCCATTCCGCGGGTTTGTCCCTTCGCCGTGGGTCCCTGGTCTTTCTTCTCACAGATTGTCTCTACAAGTTACAATCTCCATACATGTTTGTATCTAACCTTCAAAGGGATAGTGCAGTTTGTGTTGTGTCTGCTAACAATGCCAGTAAATGAGTTTGGAGCAATATAAATAGCATATACATTACATTCTCATTAAAGCTCCTACATTACGCAAAATTGACTCTTGTGAGATTTAAGCCATGATAGAATGTTGTTATCTCATCAAAAGCATTCCCAGAGTTGTTTTTTACTGCATTCGCACATGTTTGAGTAACTTTATTATTAATCTGTCTACAGCTCCAAAGCTCAAAATGCTCTGTTCCACTGTATGATGTCATCAAGTGGTAGTTTTCAAGTTAACATCTAGCTTTTATCTTCATTTCAGTAGAAATGGCCAATTTCAATACTGAAATCATCCAAATGATTCCAGTGAAAGTGTATGGAGTTTCAAAGCACAGTGGAGCACTACTTGTATTACTAAGTGACATCACAAGTTAGAACCGAGTGTTTTCTGAATTGAGCCTTTGTGTGGACGTGTGTGAAAGAAACAAAACACAACTCCAGGTATGCTTATGATGAGGAATTATAACAGATCAGAAAATAGTAAAATATGACTAACTTCTAACCGTTACCTATAAACTTGCTTACTTTCACATCTGATGAATCTGGTACTCCATTGTACAAAGAGTTTTTTTTTTTTTACTTTAAAATGGTGCTCCAACCTGAAAAAAAAAAAAAAAGAAAAAAAAAAAAAGGATTTTCTTCACCATTTAATGAAAAAAAAAAAAAAAAAAACTTGCTTAAGAACCTCACAGTTCTAACAAAAGAAGGTTAGAAAATCTGACAATGCATAATTTTTCAAGCTGCGTTTATATGATGACAGTCTGAACAGAAGATTCAAAAGTGGCATCACGTCTTCACTTTTTATTTTTATTTACATACGGTGATGCAAAAGTGTGTGGAATTCAATTGGGTATGCATGCCAGGTTTCTGTGTACTGTATGTATGTGATGTAAACGTATACACGACGTGACCAGATCTGACCAGAGTTTTGCGTCTTGGGCAGTGTAGACGGAAACGCTACGGCGGAGTGTATTCAAATTTTCCGCTCTGGAGGGTGGTTTCTGATCAAATATTTTGTCATTTTTACTCACAAGCGTTCTCGTGTAAACAGGGCCTCAGCATAACTTTTCTGCTGGGTGGTGCATCATATGTTTTGCCTGGAATGTTCTACAGTTCGACATTAATCTTGGCTTTTCTCCAAGTTACAGGTCAGACTTGTGAGGCAAGCTTGCTCACTATTGACTATTGAAAGGTGTGTAGTCCACCATTAAAGTTAATAAAGTAAATGATTTAAACCAAATGAATTCTATGGCCAAATAAAGCAGACATTAGCACAGACAATAAAATGAATATTGTCATTTTTTGGTAATGCGACCCAAAAGTTCAGAAACCAAGCCTTTCTGTTATGGGGTAGTTAAAAGTATAAGACAACGTTACCTTCACTCCTTTTTTAAAGTTGCCAAATCCAGTCAAGGCTCCAAAGGAATTATTCTACAAGCAAGAAAACTATCTCCCTCTCTACTAAACGGCTAGAAATTGCTAGGTGAAACGGTTTTTAGTTTAAATCAGTTTGCATGAAAGGAGTTGTAGAATTTTCAAACAAAGTTCTTTCTGCTGTGTCTTGTTGAATGGCCCTGCCCCCGTCTGCTCTTCCACACTGGCAGCCAATCTTCTGGGGAATAAATGAGCTACCGAAAACATCGAATATAGAAGCACATTTACAAAATACTTTAATCCGCCTCATTTCCTTCACTCCATCTTGAAAAAAGTGTTGATTTACCAGTGCAAACAAACAGCTCTGGGCTCATAATTGCCATGAAATATAGATGCAAATTGCGTCTCTCATAACGTCGCTCACACAGGTACATCCAGTGTAAAAGCTCATTCATCAGTATATCTCTCCATCTCATTGCATTTCTATTTACCATTCACCTCCCCTGTCCTCCCCCTCTCTTAGCTTAAGATGTCGGAAAGTAAGCTAATGTTTGCCTTCATTTCTGTGTTGACATTATAATGTAAAGCAGAAAGATAGGGCAAATATTCTTATATATATTATATACTTAATATGTTAACATGCACTTCCTGATGATTGGACAAAAAAAAGCTTTCTATTTAGATTAAGTTCTCTGTACTCACGGCAGCAAACGCACGGACATGTTCAGCACGTGCCTATGATCTAATGCACATCTAAAGTATTGAAATGAAAGTGAAACAAAGCATGTGGTTTATGCACAGCACGTTCCATCAGTTGCACACAGAGACGCTCCTGCTCTGGACAAAGAGCACACTGCAGCTGCACTCAGCACTCAAGTCCAGTGTCACCTCTGGGTGGGAAAAGTGAGCACAACTGTGTACCAGCAGCACGGTTCAAGGTTAAATTCTAGGGTGGTGTGGGGCCTTTCTGTGCGAAGTTTGCATGTTTTCCCTGTGCCTGTGTAGGTTTCCTCCAGGTGCTCTGGTTTCCCCTACTACTAAAGAAAGAGAACATGTACAGTAGGGTCTCCTGTGGGGCCAGAACTCCCCTGAAAAAGAGATTCTTAATCTCAGCTGACTATCCTGGTTAAAAAAGGTCAATAAATAAATAAACCAACAGTCCACATCTGAGCTATTTGTAAAGGACTATCACATACCAGCCTTTTACCACCTTCTCTACTTAACCACTACACCATGACACCGATGCCTTCTAACATCTCCTTGTGTCTTGTGTCTGTGCAGGTGTGGTGCTCCAACAAGACCATGGGAAGGTCTTCAGCGTGTCCAGCACCATCAGGATCCCCGTGGAGAGGAAAGACAACGGAGCGGCCCTGAGCTGTGAGGCCTTCCACCCTGCTCTGGACGGGCCTAAGAGGATCCGCCACTACCGCCTGGATGTCTACTGTACGTCAATCAAGTATTGTATATTTACAAACACTGATAAGTGTCATTTGAAAAAGTCACCAGAGGTTTGAAATTTACTGTTTGTATAGGTTTTGTTTTCAAAAGCCAAATGTATTTTACTGCAAATCAAAATATCTTTCCATCCCTTCTTCATTAAATCCACTAGATATTATATTTGCTGACAGTAGCAAAAAGAAAAAATATTTTTGGTAATTTTTCAAAACCAGTTTTTGCAGTTGAAGTCCTCAAATATAAATGGACACCGCATTCCAAAGATGAAGTGTTCATGGGGGCACTTCTGGCTCCACTGACTGTTTCCAGTTGACTTACATTAGAAAATGGTCACCCCTCTCTGTGTAGCAGTACTGCAGTGAGCCTCATCATTTTGGTCTAGTCTGGTCATTAGTACTAGTGCTTTTAGTGCTTTTATTTTGCTATTTCGTACGTAATTAAATTCCTATTCCTAATATGGACCTGGCTCTAAATGCACTCCTTTAACTGCCAGCCTTATGAGCTTCATTTGACTGGGGCCGAACTCTATGGGTGACGTCACACTCCCTGAGTCCACTTCTTTATACAGTCAGGATGATCAGCATTCAACACACGCAACAAATAAAATCAGACCATCTCAATCTCAATGCAGATTATTCCACCTATATTGCCCAACTCCGACTGCACGCTTTAAATGCCAGTTATAATTTCGTCAAGGGAACGGGCTCATTTTTCAAACGGCAGATATCTCATTTTAGAAAGAGGCTAGTTTCTACGTGAGCCAGGGTTTTTAACAGAGCTGTATTCAAAGCTGCGCTGCATGTGATTTCCTCTCATTAAAAGCTAATACATACAAATCTGGTCATGCGGGGAATCAGGCCAGAGCAGTCCCACAGCAGGTTAGGGTCCAGGCCAGTAATAAAAGAATTGACCACAACTGTTGCCGCGGAAGACGATGAGAGAGAGAGGGATATTGCTAGCACTGATGTGGATTTTGGGTTGACACATCAGCAGCATGAGGCAAAGTTTCACATCATAAAAAATAAAACTGTTTCTCTCAGGTAGATTTTTCAAAGCTGACGTCAGTATTCCATGTGCGTCTTTTAAAACTTGAAGGTGTATTGTGCAACTTTTCTGGTTGAGGTCACACTACTGTATGCTATTAAGGTGCCTGGGTTAGGGTTGCAAAGGAATGTTCCACACTATGGCATTAAGCTTATCAAATATGCATTATTTATGTATTATTTATATTTATTATTAAAGTGCTCAAAAACACTGAAATAGGGCATACTTGCCTCTTCACAGATCTGACCCATAACTTGGCCTGGTGGCATTCTTGTCTCCATGGAGCTGAATGCTGTAGAAAAGTCAGGCAAAGCAATAAAATACTTATTCTGAAGACAATCAGGTAGCAGATCCTCCACCAGAAAAGTTACGCAATGCACCCTTAAGCTTAGATGTCAAAAATTACACTGAGACTGATAGAGGATTGAATTTAGAATCCTTATTTAAGCAGATTTTTGTGAGTCATTTGCCAATCCAAGTGTTACAGAATGAAGAAAAATTAGGATCTTTGCCTTAGCCATTAACAGTTTAAAACTAAATTTGATATCTTTGAATAATGGAAAGTCCTCAGAATGTTGAACATAGCTAGAAATTGAAATCCATGAATATAATATGTTTTGCTTTTAGTAGAGCATAACTTTTCAATTTGCAATTATTTATTTATTTTTTTTATTTAAAGGGCCCATATTACGCTATTTTTGATCTATGTTATAATGTTATTTAGTCTTCACAAACATACCTGGAGTTGTGTTTTGTTTCATTCACACATGTTTCAACACATTCAACACACAACCCTGCATATTTAGGCTGAGTTTTTTCTCTCAAACAGAAAACACTCTGTTTCACTGTGTGATGTCATGTGGTAATACAAGACTATGTTTACACTAAAACAAATCCGTGTGTCACCATATCACCATATTGGAAACGATCTGCATCCAGACACGCCATTTCCGTGTCTGCAAGCCTTCCCTAGTCACACAGCTTTGAGCATATTTGTTTACGTTTTACAGAAACGAAACTTAAAACTGCATGGCTAATTTGCATAAAATGAGCGCTCAAACAACAGCTCGCTATTGTGCACTGATGCGGTTCAGCTTCTGTCGGACTAAAGGACATGACTCAGTAGATTATATGTATTCTGTATATGAATGAACATATATTCTAGTGAATTACTTCACAGCAAATAAACCTACATCAGCACATTAACGTTTTCAGGCATCGACATAGTACCAGATCAGATCCGTACTCAGATGAATTCGTGGGAGCTGTTGGCACCAGATCATTCTGTCTCTGGAGCTGTTCTCAATCAGATTAGTGTGGACGAACATTGCATCCAAAACGAAAATGACTCGAATACATACTAGTGTGGATGGAGCCCAAGAATGCTCCACTGTGTTTTTAATCTCTGTACATCTTCACTAGAATCATTTGGAAATTTTCAGCCCTGGAATTGCCAATTTCAACCCAAAAAAAAGGTAAAAGGCAGTTGTTAACATGAAAATGATCACTACAGGATAACACAAGAGCATTTTAAGCATTGGAGATGTAAACAGATTAATACAAGGGTTACTCAAACATGCATGAATGACAACAACAAAAACACAACTCCAGGTTTGTTTTTGATGAGGTAACAACATTATAACATGTCTCACAAGATTTAATTTTGCGTAACAAAGGACTTAGGACCTTTAAGCAATTCTATACGGGTATGAAGTACAAATTCAAGTACAGATCTGAGCAAGTGTTATCATTACAAAAGATGTGCATAATCTTTTCTGAGATCCTACTTATGTGCCTCCACTATTCCACTGTTCACTTAAAATGTGATGAAACAAGATTGCTTCAACTCATAACTTATTAAATTGAATTGTTAATATAAAAATGGCTGATGATTAATACCTACTTCTTTATTAGTGCAATTCTTTTTCCAGACGGTTAAATAATTCACATCTGGTTAGATTAGCCTTTGCTGACTGATACAGACCAAAACCCACTAGAAAATTAAACAGTGTAGATTCCCTGTGTGAATATTGAGTACAATTCTGTCTCATTAGCGCTAACCACAGAAAGCTCTCGTCCCTGATTGCCGCTGATACCGCCCCCTTTCAGTCTGCGGGTGCAATTAGCTCGTACAATGGGCGCTAATGTTTGTTGATGGATTGCGAGCTTCCATTCAACAGTTTGTAGTTTTGTACCCTGACCAACTGTTGTCATGCACTGGGGTTCCTGTCTCCCCGTCACAGAAATAAGTGCAGCGCGGCATCTGCTCCAGCCTCAGATAACAGGTGTCTCCACTGTGGGATTGTCAGGCGGTTGCCGTAGAAACAGATGTTAAAGACCCCTTATTTGTCTTCCTTCTACTTTTTTATTTTGCAATAAAGTTTTTATTAGATTTTTTCTTTTCTTTTTTTTTTTTTTTGTATTAATGGTCTAAGCTGTTTCATTTGAGATACAAGATACACATTTTAAGGCTGATGCTCTTGGTACGGCATTTTTCACAGCAATATCAGTAATGTGGTGGCACGATGACTAGTCACAGTGACTCACAGCAAGAAGGTTGTGGGTGTGACTCCCAGGTTTCTACACATACAGTATCTGGGTGGGTTTCCTATGGGCATTCTGGTTTCCCCAATCAACCCAGAACATGTACACTAGGTAAAGTAAAAGGCAAAGGTCCAGCTATGGTCGTAACCAAGCTTTGTTTGAGAGCTGGAGGTAGGTCCCTGGGCGTGGCACAGTGGCACCCGACAGCATGGGTCAAATCCAGAGGACAAATTTCCTATGTAGACAATAATGGTTTTAGCGTAGTCAGTGCTAGTAAACACTCATTCCACCATCTGCCATCACTATCACCGACCACCTCACACTACCCCGCTCACCCTACATCACCTCAGATCTATTCTAACTCTGGGTACATTTTTCAAATCATGAGAATAAATAGAAGCAAATCTAAACTCTGAAAAGTTTGTTTACTGTGTCAGGTAATCTGCAGCAGCCTGATCCTCGCTGCTTGGGTTTATGTAAACAAACACAGGTGAACTCTTCTCTCTTTTTTACTGCTAAAGAAAGAGTCAAAATAGATTAATAGCATCATAATCAGCATAATGGCACATGAGGAGGGCGTTATCTTAAAAATTGCATATGCAGATCCACATGAGGTTAGAGAGAATCAAATCTGGGCCTAAATCTGGCCAATTATCTTGAACTATTAAAGGTGTACTATGTAACTTTTTGGTTGGGAGACTGTCACCTGCTTATTTCTATAGATATGTCTCTGCTCTGGTTGAAATGTTCCATAGTACGATATTAAATAGCTCTGCCTTACATTCATTCAATTACAGATGGTTTTATAGCTTATGCCTAGAAAAACAGGCATTCTGACTGTGAGCAGGATTGCCTCTTCACAGATCTGACCTGTAACTTGGTCTGGTTTGGTTTCCATGAAGATAGAAAGGTTTAATCCATACTGTGAAACATTCCAGATAAAGCAATAACATCTCCATGGAGAAAAGCATTTGACAGACCAAAAAAGTCCACCAGAAAAGTTACACAACGCAACTTTAACTCATCTAAATACATAGTTTTAGGCTTGGCTTCTTATTTTTCTTCTACTTTCCCCATCCATTTGTTGTTCATTCTTGCATTCTCTGATCCCACTTTTCTTGTGTTTTTTTGTTTTTGCTTTTTTTTAGTTTTTTGTGCCAATCAACCACATTTTTGAATTGTTCTTCTTTTTTTTGTTTTTCTCAACAGTTGCCCCTACAGTACGAATCATCCCTCCCACTGGAATCCTGAGAGAGGGAGACTCACTCAGCCTGACCTGCTCGGTGACTGGGAACCCGCTGTAAGTATGCACACACTTCTTCTTGTGTTTGCGGAGGATGAACAAATATGCACATACATTTTCAAGTACCACGATGCAACAGGTGTGAAGGGTTCAAGTGCAGGCACCAAGACCTTCCATTTACAAGTTTGTGTGAGCATGTTAACAATATGTCCTCGTGAAGTTTCTAAGACAAGCTGTACCGCTGCATCACCTGTAATTAACATACGTAGGTAATTAGAGGTAAGTGCACTCAAGAAAAATGAAGTGTGTATGTTTTAAAAAATATCATCTTTAATGACTAGACCACACAAAGCAAAAGGTGGACCATGATTACACAGTGTACAGCATTAATACAGGAGACTATGGTGGCCCCCTGTTGTCTAAAATTAAAATAAAATAAACTGGACTTTTAATTAGCACGACGTAATTAGACTTTGTTGCACATTGCATTATACTCTTATAAAAGAAATTACACTTGTCAGTAATGACTGCTTCAATTTAAAGGTGCACTGCTTAACGTTTCAGGTTGGGGGACTGTTGCCCTGGAGCTGCTTTGTTGCTTTGCCTATAATATTCTGCAACATGGTATAAAAGTGTGCATTTATTCAATTGTGGCTGTTTTTATTGTACAGATCTCACCTTAAAAATTTACCCTCATGCTTTTTTCTATGGAGATTGAAAAGTTTAATGCCATACTTTGGAATATTGGAGGTATAGCAATAACATCTCCATGGAGACAAGTAACTAGTGAGCCTAATACCAAAAATAAAAAATAAAAAATACACAGTGCAAGTGGCTTTTATACCCCACAAATTGAATGAGATGAAATTATTCAAATAAAAAATGATTTGTGCCACCATAGTCTTAACCAAATCTATGGGAAACACTGATTACCGATAGAACTTTCTAAAATATCCTTCCCCTTTTTAATTAGCATACACAGCAAGCTTTACTATGCGATGACAGGAAAGGTGAACTGAACTAGGTTACATTGCAGGTCGTAGAGGAAATGCTTTCTCCACAGACTAAACTCTCAATAACATTCAAAGATGTGCAATACTGATTTTGATGCTCTTTTTAGACAACAGATTTTCAACTCCAAATCATACTTGTTACTAGTTCTGGTGAAACTTATCAACGTCAAATTTTGTCCTGTTAAAGCTTTGAGCTTTCTACCTTGTCATAATATTGTTCCCTCATCAAAAACATACCTGAAGAGGTTATAGGCAAGGCAAGTTTATTTGTAAAGCACAATTCATACACAAAGTAATTCCAAGTGCTTTACAGGATAAGAAATGCATTAAAATCACAATCAAAACAAATCAAAACATAAATAATGAATTCACTTACATTAAAGTTATAGGTGTCATCCATGCATGTTTGAGTAATCAAGAGATCTCTCACTCTTGGACACTAATCGAACAATGCACCTGCACGGCAACTCTCCACAAATATACAAAATCATACAAAACTGTATACAGCATCTTTACAAACCTGATGTGATGTGCAGTAATTTCCTATGCTGATTGTGCTGAGATGTTACTCTAGAATATATAATCAAAACAATAAAAGGTAACATGGCGATCTAAATATATTGTGTTAGCCATAAATACGCCTTAGAAATAAAATTCCTCCCTTTAATGTTTTAGATGATGCTTGCTCAAATAAGTATCTAGATGTTATTACTAATTTTATCACTCTCTCTTAATTTTACAGTACATGTAACAAGGTGGGTGAGATATATTGCCCAACTGTGGATGAAGACTTTTTTTTTTACAGACTTTAATCATCAATGGTTAATGTTAAAGCAAAACATTCTTTTATAGTTGCTAGAAAATTCCAACAAAAGTTTCATCATTTGAAGTGTGGGGGAACAGGGAAACAAATTCTCAGAAATCGATTTCATAACCCAAAATTCAAATCCGCCATATGCCCATTTACGTAACAAGGCTCTAGATTATTGAATATTCTGATAATTCACAATTGGCCTCTTGTCATGGGGTATCTTTGTTATACAATGAGATCAAACAGAAGGTAGCAGCAGATTCCAGAAGCTACTCAAAATTCTTGCCAACATAATTTTGGTCCCTTATGTACCCTGAAGCGAGGCTCAAAAAATAAAGAATAACCTCATTAGTAAAACAAATTGTATTGCGGGCGATCTCGAGGTGTAGATTTCCTCTTGGTATGTGTTAATATGTTATCCGCTCATATCATCATGACATCAAATTGCATCACTGGTTAAATTCCAACTAATTAGAGCTTTTCACACATAAGATCCTCTGTTTCCCTTTCACAGCTAGCCTCTCTGTGTTTTGGTTTGTGTTGCTAAATAAAACCCCAGAAATCAGCTGCCTCAACCCATTTGTAAAAACAGTATTTTTCTCACCCACTAAAGTACATTTTGCACCATAGACAAGCTCACGCTGCAGATCTGGAAGCGCAGGTAGGGTTTGAAAGGCAATTACCACACAGATGTCATAACACACACCCCCCCGGATAGAGCACGGGTGTTGCTAATGATGCAACACAAGCAGGTGTAGAGAGTGCAGGTACTGGTACATGCTACTGGTTTGGATAGATAAATATGTCCATTTTACCAAAACACTTTTTACCGGAGGGCTGGGCATCGCAGGGTTTCTCGCGGTTCGATACGATACACGGTGCATGGCTCACGATACCTGTAATAATCAGTATATTACACATAATACTCTAATACGCTGCCTGGTATGTTCCACAGTATGACGTTAAACTGCTCTACCTTACTTTTTTTTCAATTACAGGTGGTTTAATAGCTCAAAAATCCAGAGAAATACAGGCATTCTCTCTGTGAGTGGGGCCGCCTCTCCACAGATCTGACCTATAACTTGATCTGGTTTAGTCTCCATGAAGATAGAAAGGTTTAACATTGTGAAACATTCCAGACCACGTAATAAAATCTCCATGGAGAAAAGGATTTGACAGACCCTCCACCAAAAAAAAGTTACACAATGCACTTTTGAGAACCAAATACATTTTAGCAACAATATTTCTTAGTTAATATAAAATACATCTATGTTAATGATCAAAACAGTGAATACGTCAAGTGTATTGCATAATCAAGCTTCGTTACACTAAATAAGCAACAAAATCATCATGCGGTCACAAAAAAATAAAAAATAAAAAATGATGAAGATACCCACAAATACTCTTGGCGATCTAAATATATATCAATACTGCAGCCCACGATAACAATACTAACAATACTACAATACTAAAATACTAAATTTAGAATCACAGTACATCGATATTTCCATATTTTTGCACACCCCTACGGAGGTATGACAGGGACACTAAAGCATTAAACTGCACCAGAGTGTGGGATTAGACTGTGATTCTTCAAAGAGGTTAGAGAAAATGAGGGAATGATGAAAAGGCATATTCTGGTTGAGGTGAATAAAGTATACTGGGCGACAGAAGCTCAGTTGGTTGAGTGTTCCTCCACTGATCCAAAGGTTAGCAGTTTGAATCCCGATTTCGACATAAACATCATTGGTGAAGCAGTCAGATACATTAATCCACAGGTTGATTTCATCTTCCACAGATGAATGTTCTCAATGTGGGAATATTGTGTTTGCATTTAATCATGAGGAGCAGGTGACCATAGTTTGTTAAAAGTGCAATAATAACTTCTGGTGAAGGATCAGCCACCTGCTTGTATCCATAGAAATAGTATTGCTTTGCCTAGAATATTCCATAAAATACCCTGAAAAACATGCATCAAAACATGTGCCCCTCAGAGCTGACCTGTACCTTCCCCTGCTGACGTCACATGCGTCTCTATGGAGCTGAAGTGTAATGCCATGCTGTTTAACATTACATAAAATCTGATTAAATGTAGCACACCACAGAGTTATTGTGTACCATAAAAAATATGTAAGTATTAAGTTATTCAAAAGCTGAAAATAAAGATAGATAGAAAATGCATGTTTGTGAAGACAAGCTGTCTGCATCATGAGATTCATTCACTGTAATTAGGCAAAATGTGTAGCCCAAAACAAAAACAAAACAAAACAAAACAAAAAAACACTTGCAGTTCCAGATGTTTTTGCAAATTCTTAAGTTTCATTTTGAAATGTTTCTACAAAATGTTCCCAGCTGTTTCCTAACATCAGTAAATTTGATCTTGGGTTCATATTACACTATTTTTCTCCACTGTGTTTTTAAACTCCATGCACCTTCACTAGAATCATATGGATGATTTGAGCTTTGAAATTGCAAGTCTCTGTTGAACAAAATGTGAAAGATAGCTGTTAATTTGAAAACTATTGCATCCTGACATTACAAGAGGAACAGAGCATTGTGAGCTTTAGAGAAGTAAACAGACGAATAATAACATTTTAGAGTCTTAGTCAAACTTGTGTGAATAAAACAAAACACAAACCCAGTTATGTTTGTGATGAGGAAACAACATTCCAACATGACTAAAAGGCCACAAGTCTATTTTTTGTAATATAGGACTTTTAAAGTTACTCTTGACTTTCTAATGCTTTATTTACCCATTGCAAAGAATGTTTACGCAGATTCAAAAAGAGCCATTTCCCCACATAGTCAAACACAAATTTATCGCATTACAGTTTATACTCAACATCTTCCCTGCTACATGCCTTCAACAATGTATTTTCTATAATGAATCCTCTGTAGCTTCATTCTCCTACGCGTGAACAGAAAAACAAAACCTTACGGGGTGCTCGCCTTTGTGAGTGCCAATGATTGCATTCATATTTGCAATAAAAATGGCCGAAGGTTTTTCATTTGAACGATCTGCGACTTTGCAAATGTGTAAAACTGTTTCATTAACCTCTCGCTCCCCCATCTGAGCAGAGGCACGCTCGTATTGGCACAACACTGAGATTGTCATGGGCGTCTCACAAATTTGTCTAACCATGTGAAAAACAGAAAAATGCGATGAAGCAAGAGGCCCTATTCTGAGTTAGACGTTTTTTGCTTTCAATGCACAAAAATACTAGACGAAGTGG